ACAATAATAATAGCAATACATAAATAATAAATAAATAATTAAAAGCAAGAATTATAAACTGTACCAAAATCGAACAAGAACCAACTAAAATAAAAAAATGGTAAGACATTAAAAACAGTACACTGGACATGGATTTTACATCATATCACACTAAAAAAAAAAGGCTACATGCACACAAATCGTCTGGTTTCTTGCAATTTAATTTTAAAACAATCGATCAATAGCCTTGAGTTTGATGTTTATGTTTATCAATGTTTATTCAATGTTTACCTCTGAATTTTCCTCACTTTATTTTAAATAACAGTGTTTGTCGTCGTATGTAAACTTTGTTAAATGTTCAAAAACATAACACTCACTCCTGATCCCGACTCTCGGGATCCTAATGTGTGGCTACGAATTAGTAAGGTGTAGGAACAAGATAATTAAGTCGTGCCCACGACTTAGTAAGGCATGGGCTTAATTATCTCATTCCCTCAGCTTACTAAGTCATGGCCACACATTAGGATCTACTTCCCATGCCTTACTTAGTCGTTGCCACACATTAGGATCTAGTTCTACTAAGTCGTAAGGCATGGGAACGAGATCATGCCTTATTAAGCTGTGGCCCAGGCTTAATTATCTCATTTCCATGCCTTACTAAGTCGTGGCCATGACTTAATTATCTCATTCCCATGGTTTACTAAGTCGTGGCCATGCATTATTATTATTTATACGGTATGTCACCAGCAGGCCTCCGTAAATTGCAACTATTTTTGATAAATAAAGTGCTAATAGTGAGTTTGTGCTGCAGTAACAGCCTCTACTCTTCTAGAAAGGCTTCTAGATGTTGAACACTGCTGTGAGGATTTGATTGAGCATTAGTGAAGTCAGGTACTGATGATGGATGGTCAGTTCTAGATCACTCCAACTCATCCCAAAGGTATTGGATGGAGCTCCATCACTCCAGAGAACACAGTTCCACTGCTTCACAGCCCAATGCTGGGGGGCTTTATACCCCTCTAGCCCACACTAGGCACTGGGCATAATGACCTTAGACTCATATACTGCTGCTCCAGAGTGTCCCATTCTATTGGTCAGTTCTTTTCTATGGAGATACAAGCTGTGCTAGCAATAGATGACCATAAAGTAGATGAATTCACTCATTAGAAGAGCTGCATGGATATGGGATGTAAGTAAATAAGAAAAAATGAATCCAGTGCTCGGGCCAGGAAAGTAGGTTTACGTGACCACATGGCCTCATACTGGTGAATTGTGAACATGTACTTGAATGATGTGGTCTTTTCTCAGTGCTGACCTGGCCCAGCGCCATGGTCCAACATGCACATGGGAACTGTGCCCTCTATTAGTGGGATTCCCCTCTTCTGCTCCAAGGCCATTTCCTTTTTGAGAGTGAAGAGTCTTACTGAACAGTAAGCTTAGATTAGCGGGCAAGCTTTGTGGAATAGAGCTCTTTAAAAGCTCTGTATGTTAAGTAGCCTTTCCACATATTGTACGTATTTCATAAATCTTTAATAGCTAAGGAGGCATTGCAACCTAAAACTAGTGCTTAATATGTTATTTTTCATCCTGTTATGCAGTATTACATCCCTCTGAGTCTTCAGTTTGACAGCATTAATGATTTGACATGATGCAAACTCACTACAATAACAAGAACAAACATTCGGGAATCCCTGTGGTGTCAACCAATCAGGACTGCTAGCCTAACCACTGATTTATAGCCTAATAAGTTCAAGCTAGTGTTTATGTAACTCTTACCTTGATTGTTGAACAAAATCAGAAGAAAACAGCGATTCTGTGATGAATTTATTATCCATTCAGACAGAAAAAAGGAAGCCAAACTGAGGTAAGGTGTCGTTTGTGAGTTCAGACCATGCCTTCAACATGGCGGTGGTAGTATGAGGGAAGACTGATTGAGGGAGGAGGGAGATCTCTGAGAACTTGGGCTGGAGTTCTGTGCAGCTTCTGCCTGTAGCTAGAAGGCCAGACCCCCTCATAGCTGTAGTAGGACTGATGCAGGATTGAGGAACGGGGGCTGGTGGGGATTGCGAACACTTCGTCACGGGAACAGAAGGTGAGGATGTGAATTTATAGGGCGTTAGACTGACCTCATTTCTGTCATTAGAGTGATCTGTTCACTCCACTGTAATGATGATTTGAAAAACATCCCCTAAAAATACACCCAGAGCACTTTTTCTCACACCTTCAAAATACATCATCAGAAGGGGGCTTTGCTAGTATTTAAAGGAAAAAAAAAAGAAAATCTCACTCTAGAGGTTTGAAGCAGCGCCGCTGTAGAATGTGAGAAAGATTGCGTACGACAGATGCAGTGATGTGTACAGAGTGTCCCTTTAAAACATGAGCTCAAAGCTTTGGTGCTTTTGGTCAAATTAGCTCAAACTCAGGTTGAGACTGCAAACTGACCTCATTAAAAAAAAATACATATTTGGGTCATTCCATAGAAACGTCCATTTTTGTGTCCCTAGCGTTCACATATATATTACACTTAAAAAACAAGTTAGTGTTCCTATTAATTTATATTTTAAAATAAAACAATTTTAATAATTACACCTTCTTGAGCCTCAATTTAGCAATATTGGTTTTTAAATCAATTATCTAGAATTCCAAGCAAAACAGAAGAGCTCGTCCCCACAGTCATGTGTGAAGGGTGAGGCCATATTTTGAAGAAAAAAAACACATTTTTCTGCAATTTTACATACATACACATACATCATCTAAACCGCTTATCCTTCTGGGTCGCGGTGGGGTGCTGGAGCCTATCCCAGCTGTCGTTGGGCGGAAGGCAGATGATGATTGCAATTTTAACTACAACAACCTATACATGACTATGAAATATATGAATTAAATGACATAAAGAAAACACAGGCAAAATAAATATTATAAAATATATAATGAAAGCTCCCCAGGAGTCGTGTCACTGGTGTTACCGCATAACAAAAAATCACTTATTTTGGAATAAAAATCACACTGATGACATCACTCGGCTTCCTTTTACCTGTTTTCTGAGGGTCTATGAAGAAAAGCACATGGTGAGTCCACTGTGTCTTTCAGTTAGCAGAGATTTTCTCATTCAGCTCATGATTTCATATGAAGCTTTTAGCTGAAGTCACTGGTGTGACCGACTTTATTCTGAGGTAACTGTGAAAAAATAGAATACAAATGGATTAAATTCCATATTTTAGTGGATATTCCATGATTGACAACATGTGGTTTGATGCTCTGTAGCAGCCGTTTTATAAAATGCATGTTTCATTAAAAATGTCTCTGGTGTTCCCTTTATTATGTGTAACACCAATGAGGATCAGTAACACCAGTGACTCCTGTGGAGAGACAGAAAAGTGGACGTTTCTGATTTGCTGAGCCACATCGTAAAATACTCGAAATAACCACATATGACTGCACACATCAGTCAAATACTGTATTAATGTGGCAGTTATGTATAACTATTGTGCTGTTCATGACATAATCTTTGACTGTTATGACAGCCTGTTAACAAACTACATTGCTGGGCAGTAAAATAGTTTATTATGATGGTGACTAAAAATAAATCTAATAATTTATTGAATTTATTTTAGCATATTTCAGCCTGTTGCATTTAGTTGCCATTTTATTAAAGCAATTATGCACAAGAGGCCACCGTGATTTCTATACACACTTAAAAAGGGTTCTTGAAGGGTTCTTTAGTAAAGAAAATAGTTCTATATAGAACCATAAACACTCAAAGAACCCTTTGTATGATTACAAGTTTCTTGGCTATATTAAAAGGGTTTTTCAGATTGATTGAGAATGTGTTGTAGATGGTTCTATGAAAAAGGTTCTATAAAGTGCCAAAAAAAGGTTCTTCTATTGTAACAAGCTTGGCACCGTCACTCTTTTTGGTGCTATATTGAACCCTTTTCAAAAAGGTTCTATATAGAACCATATACAACACATTCTCCATCAATCTGAAGAACGCTTTCATGATGCAAAGAACCATTTAATCATGCAAAGGGTTCTTTGAGTGTTAATGGTTCCATCTAGAACAATTTTCTTTATTAAAGAACGCTTGAAGAACCACAAGAGGCCACAGTGATTTCACTACATAATTAAAAAGGGCTCTTGAAGGGTTCTTTAGTAATGAAAATGGTTCTATGTTAAACCATAAACACTCAAAGAACCTTTTGCATGATTAAAGGGTTCTTACCTATATTAAAAGGGTTTTTCAGATTGATGGAGAATGTATTGTAGATGGTTCTATGAAAAGGGTTCTATATAGCACCAAAAAAGGTTATTCTATTGTAACAAGCTTGACACCATAACCCTTTTTAACCCTTTTAAGCATCTACAGCACATTTTCCTTCTTTGAGTGGGTTCTTTGAGTGTTCATGGTTCCATATAGAACCATTATCTTTACTAAAGAACCCTTGAAGAACCACCTTTTTTAAATGTGTACAGTTAAAGGAGTTTTAGGCTTTTTACTGCGTGTTAATAATAATAATACTAAATTTTATTTATATAGCACACTTTTCGTGACAATGTCAACTCAAGGTGCTTTACAGAAAAATAAAACAAAAATGAATTTATGAAAACATCTAAAAAGAAAAGTCTTAATATTCTTTTTAAAAAGAGATAAAGATCCAGAATTTCCTTAAAGACTCAGGAAGTTATTAACATGGAACTACCAGCAGATTTGAGGATCCAGACCAAAGCAAAACTGCAGCATGAGTTTGAGGAAGAAGACGATCCTGCAAATATACTGGAGTCTGGGCATGTAAACATTTATAAACCAAAAGGAATGTATATAAATTAATTAATAAAAATAAATAAAATCACTGTAACACATTCCCTCATAAGTCCCTGCTTTAAACATATCTAACCAAATGTAAGACAGTCATGGATGGGATGAGAAGTCGATTCAAATCAAGCGTCTACAGGCTTCACTTTGTTTGCTGATATTGCATTAGAAAGGCTGGGCTTTGATGTGAGTGCCTTGTTTCCTGCAGTCGTCTGGAGAGTAAAGTGCTGGTGCTGGAGACGCAGCAGCGGACAGAGCTGGAGGACATGAAGGAGGAGAAGGAGAGGCTGAGGGATCTGGTGGGGAAACAGGCGGCTGCCATCACGGCTCTGGAAAGGCAGTTACGGGCAGCCAGCAGCAACAACTCGGCCTTACAGAGGCAACAGCAGCAGCTGATGAAGTCTGTCCACACGCTCCTCAGCCTGGTGTCTCCCGGGACAGGTACACATAAACACAGGCGCTTTCTTAAAGACAACTTGGTTATACTGTTACATCACACTGTGCCATTATATCACTTTCCATCTTGCTATATATTGCAAGAAGGGTCACAATGTAAAAATGTATTTTTTTGTGGACATTTATATCTGTCGTAAGTGATTTCTCACTATATTAGCAGATAGTTTTGCTTTTTTCAGGCATATTTCTTAAAACAAGCAAACCTCTTTGCCAATACAGTGAAATTTGTACTTGATAAAACTGCTTTAAACAACTACAGAGTAACTAGATATACATTAAATAATAAATAAAAAGCTTGCAACAATTTTATTATGAGAAATATTAGATATATTGGCAAAAAATAGGATAATTTCACTTGACAAGATGCACTGTTTTGCATAATAATAATAACAATAATGATAATTTGCATGATAATGATCACAATATAGTAATACAATAATAATCATTACATGGTGAGTACTTGTGCTTGTTTTGTGCCACATCTGATTAAAAAATGATGAAGATAATTGTTAGTAAATAAACAAAATAGTTTCATGCTTTAAGTGTGTCTCTGTAGAGGATGTGTTACTTATTTTCACTTAGAAAATCAACAACAACGTGGAATTTGACCAGGGAGCACAAACCTTTGTATATGATTGTATGTAAGTGTAAAATAACTGAGCTCTATGGAAAAGTTGGAAGTCAGTCAGGCGATTCCTGTGGTTCCGCTCGGTATGTTACCTTCATCTCCCCTTATTTGTGTCTTACACGTAAATAAAAACTACACTTTCTCAGACTGAGATTGTTATTGCCTCCTAGTGTCCCTCCTGAGTATTATTTGTGCTGTCTTAGCAGTTCTGGTGCTTAGCGGCTCTGGTGTTACTCATATGGACGTCCCTGATCGGTTTACATTAAGCAAATATAGAGAATCACATGAATTACAGGGGTCTAAACGAATAAATATACCACATATTTTTGGAGTAAGCTCTTGTTTTCGATGTCTTTGGCTCTGTTTGAGCGCAATTAATGTATCATACATCACAACCACACATATACACAGGCTCATATGTGTGGATAAGCTCAGCTAACACAATGGTTTTAATGGTCAGAGAACATATCAGCTCACTTTCACCGTTTTAGCATGTGAGCTAGTTTTGTGTCATTTGAATGATGAAAATAATCTCCAACAGCAAAGATATCTTGCCCGAATAACATAGTCTCAAAACGCAGCTTTGCGTGTGATACTTATAGTGTACAAGAGTTCAAGTTCAAGAGGCTTTATTGTCGTTTCAGCTGTATACAAGTACACAGTGGAACGAAACAACATTCCTCCAGGACCAACATAGGAACACAAGTGCAAGACAATACAATAAACACAGTGCAGGGCAGACAATACAGTACAATAAATAAATATGAAATACTTACAATAAATGCAAAACAGAACACAGGCAGTACACGGTACTGAGAGGATGAGGAGCTGTGCAAAGGAGGATGTAATGTACTATGACATATTAGCAGCTTAGCAGAGAGCCTAGCATATATGAGCGTGGCAGTCACTGAGGTAGCAACCAGAACAGCAATGGAACACAGTATTTGGTTGATACAGTAATTCTAGCAGCCAATAAGTTATATCAAGTGAAGTATTTCAATGCAATGCAATTACCATATTAAAACACCATGTCACGGACATAATCTGGACTGGCAGGAAGAATGTGATGGTCTCATATTGTTATGTATAAGTGTGTGCGTGTGTGTGTGTGTGTCTGTGTGGGTGTCTTTCGATTCAGTCCGTGGGAGTTGAGGAATCTGATGGCTTGTGGAAAGAAACTGTTGCACAGTCTGGCTTTGAGGGCCAGTTTTGGATAGTGAACACCTAAAGAGCAATTCCACCAATTTTTAAAACTTTCTGCACAACTAAGTGGTTAGGATGTAAACAATGTCATTCAGAGTGGTTTAATATGAAATCTAGGGTCAGAATTGTTCACAGTGGTGGTGATAGGAACCAGACGTCCACCTCTAAAAGCTCCCTCACAGAAAGTTACTACAGGAAATGGTTATGAATTCACTGCCTGATGTCTGAGACATTATTGTACGATTCCATTCATGGCAGACAAGTTGTGAGGCAAAACAGTCCCCAAAGAAAACTTATTATTTCAGGTTTTACACTATTTTACCATCATTATCATTCCATATAAACTCAGAAGACTCATGCAGGTTCACTGGTGGTTTTGGATAGTAAATAAAATGTCTATATTGGTTTTGTAGTCATGGCGACCCCTGGTTCCTATCACCACCACTCAAACTGAGGGAATTCCTGATCTGGCTGCTGTTAGCATCTTCTAGCAGTGTGATGTTAGCATTTATTTTACAGATATATTTCCATTCTGCGCTAAACTTGATAACTTCAACATTTTTCCCTTTACAGTGTCCGACTCCATGCCAAGCGAAAGGAGGTTTCGAGACTGTGCTGAGATCTACAAGTCTGGTCAAAACAGCAGCGGAGTCTATCACATTTACATTGGAGACATGACAGAACCCACCAAGGTACGGCCCTCTGCCCAGCAGGCGTAAAGTATGATCGCCCTACTGGGAAAATTACTATGCAGGAGGTGGACAAAATAAGACAAACACCAAAAATAAACAGCAAACTCTGAAAGTAAGTGATTTAATTTTGGTTTATTGGCTCAGTTCTGCAATATGTTGAATTTGGAGTGAACAATACAATACAATTGGAATGAAACTACAGCCTGACTAATCTAAGAAAGTGCACTGAACCGAGAGCTGTATAAAAGACTAGTTCATTTATAGTCCCGTTTATATGTGCGTCAGCAAAGACTGGGTTTACAACGGTAAGCGCCACCTTCAGGACGCAACCAAAATTAATCCATGAATGAGTTTGCTGTTTGAAAACATTGGCGGTCTTTTTTCCATCTGTTTAAATATCTAAAACACACAAACTCTGCAGAAAGCGCAGCATAATGTTGCGAAAGTGAGCGAGGATGTTTTATAAGGCATAACACCACTACCTTCTACGCTGTAGACTGGCGTTCAGTCCCCACCTGGGTAAGCATCCTACACTATACCAATAAGAGTCCTTGGGCAAGACTCCTAACACTCCCTTCACCTACCTGTGTAAAAATGATCGAGTTGTAAGTCGCTCTGGATAAGAGCATCTGCCAAATGCTGTAAATGTAAATGACACTGCGCTGACAGAAATCCAATATGTTCCCAAATATTGGATCTTGTAAGGCAGATTTTCATGCCTACAAACTTCTCCCACATGTATGAATAAACACATCACAAAAATCCTGCACACACTCTCAGAAATAAAGGTACTAAACTGTCACTGGGGTGGGACCCTCAAGGCTCCATCTCAGTACCTTTAGTCAGGGAACATAACTGAACCATAATCCACTGAAATGATATGTTCTAAGCTGTACTGACTCCACACACCCCGTCTCGTCTCCAGGCCTTTATTTTACTGTTCTGTTTAAAACATTCGGTTATGAAAAGGTGCAAATACGAACTTTTCACCTGGAAAAACTTATTTAAGGTTCACAATCAGACCTTAAAACCACTGTTGGAGCTTTGAGGGAACATTTACACTGTTTGTACCTTGATGAACGAGAAATATACCTGCACAGAACCTTTATTTCTAACAGTGTAGTGTAAAAATTGGCTCATCAGATCAACCTAAAAAATTACTTCATGCAGTAACTAGCAACAGAACTAGTCTAATTCAACTCAAATTCCATTCATTGAAAAAATCATGCATTCAAAGTATTTATTTAGGTTGAATAAAACTAGTTAATTTACTTTTTACCACACAAAGTAATTTTTCGGTTGATTTGAGAAGCCATTTTTTTACAGTGTACTTGAGTAAAAGCAGAAATACTCTTGGTAAAACATTACTGGGGTAAACGTTTCCTGTCTGTATTTCTACTTGAGAACAAAAGTACAACATTACCAGCTTTTGGATGTACTTAAGCGTCAAGTGTTCTATCAAACAATGTCCTTAATTGGACACGAGCAGCTGCAGTTGTGAAAAAGAGTTCATTAATAGAAAGTGTACTTTTGTACTTTAACTCAACAGAAAATACACAGAACTCATATGTTGCTCTCAACTTCTAACAGCTCCATTACCTGCTTAATGACTTCATCACTTCATCACTTTATTTTGAGGCCCCTTTTTGTCAATGTAATATGTATAATACATAAAGCCGCATTAGCTATTTATTAATATTCAAGTATCACTTTATAAAATGTCATTCAGTGCTTAGGCATTTGTTATAAGGTCCCTGTGTAGGTGGCCATCAAATAAAGTGTTTCCAACTAGGTTTTTGGCCTTAATCAGACCATGATGGTCAAATTGTACTGTTTACATGATCATGGTTTAGTTAGGGTATTTACGTTTGTGCGACTCAGCCCTTTATACATATCCCCCCCAATCCAGGGGTCCATCAGTAATCTGCAGTTGGCTGCTCGGTTGTTTCTTGGCCAATAATGTGTTTTTGCGCCCTTAGTTCACGCACAAGTGAGCTAACAAGAGGTTTAAAGTTAATTTTAAATGTGGCATTTGCGTTTAAAATTGTTTCCCCACATGAGGACCAAAGAAATGTCATTTCCAGTAAAGCCGGGTATCATGAGGCTAAAAAATCAGAATACGTCAATCAGATACGGAGCCAAAACATTAGGCATGTCAAAATCGACTGTTTGGGTCACTGTTAAGAAGAAAGAATGCACTAGTGAGCTTGGCAATAGCAAACAACCTGGCAGTCCAAGGAAGACCACCATAGTGGATGACTGAAGATTACTCAGTCATGAAGAAAAACTGTAGAATGGAGCAAGAACTTCACCCAGAATCCAAGGGTATTTACTTTTGGTGTATTGATTAGGAAGACAAGGTCACACCAGTTGACCTCAGAGGGTTTACCACAATATGCAAACCACCGTTACAGTTTACAGCTTAAAAAAATACACCAATGTTCATCTGGAACAAAAGCTTGTGAACAGTTGAAGATTAACATCTGAAACCACAAGCAGATCCCCACTTTCACTCTTTTCTTTCATAGCATTGTAACTTACAAGCAGTTTTGGGGGTAATGCAGTACAAAGGAACACATTACAGTAATGTTAAATGTAATGTAAAGATATTTGCATGTAACAAATACAGTATAAATTGTTGTAATCACATTACAGTTATAAGATATATGTTACTTGTGGTACCCATACATCTCAAGCAGAGCAATATTAATTTCGTGTCATGCATTTAAATCATATATTTCCTCTATATAGATTATTTGCAGGTCTGTTCTACCTGTGACAGCTGACTGTGCAGCACTGTAAACTCAACACACAATCTGTCGAAACATCTAATCAGGCTAATGTAAAACACCAACCTGAACAGGTCCAACATGATTTTCACTCAGGAATAGCTCCATAATCTTTACATTTGATTCCTAAATTCCTAAGTAACACTATATTGAGTGGCACTTTGTAGGTAATTAATAGATTCTTAATATCAGTAACACATCAACAACATATCAGTGAAGTAGCAGTAGTGAAGTATCTGAATACATTGAGATAAATATCTTGAAGACTGGCTGTTGGTACATTAAGTAGATGTATTGTTAATATGTTACATTATACAAAACCTAACCTTACCCAACCTTACCCTGAACCTAATCCTCAACCTGGCCCTAATCCTAATCCTAACCTTTACCCAAAACCTAATCCTGACCATCACCCTGGCACTAATCCTAACCTTAGCCTCAATTTAAAACCTAATCCTAACCCTCACCTAAACCTGATCCCAACCCTAATTTTAACCTCAGCTCAAAACCTAATCCTGACCATCACCCTGGCACTAATCCTAACCTTAACCTCAGTTTACAACCTAATCCTATTCTCACCCTGGCCCTAATCCTAAATCTTACCTTAACCACAACCTAAAACCTAATCTTAACCCTCACCCTGGTCCTAATCCTGACCCTCACATTAACCTCAATATTAAATATTTTAAATATCTAAATATTTTATTTTAAGGCTGTTTTCAGGCTGTATCAACTGGCTAGTTCTTCAGTTTTCATACAGCATCAGCCATTCATCATTTTAAACAGGCAGTGTCTGTTAGGTATCCAGATGTTACAGATGTGTTTGGGTTTTAATAAATGAATGGGTAATGAGATTACTCATTACTTTTTTGAAGAGAGTAAAGTAGTTAAGGTAAGTTTGTCTGAGTAATTTAAATGAGTAATTTGTGTACATTTTCCCTGAATTTCACGGGAACTTCTGAATTATGAGGCTGTTAAGGAGTCAAAATAAAACTGATGCTACATACATGCAATAATCAAGCTAACACTAACAAAACTAAGCACTGAAATAAAACTGAAAGTAAGTTCACTGTTAAACTTCAACACTGTTATTGCAAGGGCCCAGCCTGCACCGCCAGCCGCCAGCAGAGGGCGACGGCAGCAAGGTGCCATAAATTCAGGGAACTCCAATTCCCAGAAGCCCTCGGGCTTATTAGACCCAACCTGGCACACCTGTGGACACCTCTACTTAAGGCTGTTTCAAACAGCAGCCCTTTGTCACACCTTTGTAGAGGGGTGACTGGTACGGTACTTAGCCCAGGTGGGTATTTAAACAAAAGGAATAAGTAAAGAAAAGAGGGCTGGAAAAACAAAAGAGAGAAATTGCCCCAAAACTACTTAAAAGCCAAAAAGAAGGCTTGAGCAAGAAACGACTCCAAGCCATACAAAGAGTTGACCTTCCTCTCAGAATCACAGAGGAAGTGTCATTTTTTGTTTTCTGATTATCTTTTATTTCACTTTTTCTATCTCAGGCTTTGTTTGAGCCATCAGTACATTGGTGGTTCCAGCCTGGCTCCGAGCCACCTCAACTCCAGATGTGCACAATCACCAAATTCACACTGCGTCACCTCAATACACTCATTTAAGACCCTTTCTCACGGGTTTTCCTCTCTGCATTTGGGTCCGGCTTCCTGCCGTCCCGTAACAGTTATATTCCAACACCAGCGACTCAGACTGCAGCCTAAAACTCTCAAAACCTCTAAACTACCACACTGGACAAGCCTGCTGGTTTGTGTGCAGCATTTTGGTGAGGTCAGTCTTATGATATCAGCCCAGGGGACCGAAATATCCTAAATGAGATCTCAGATACATCTCCTAGACATGGTTAAGTCCAGTTTAAAACCAGAGTGAGGATTAACATGCCTGACTCGTCTCACCACAGTCTCAGCTGGGTAATATCTCCATAAGAAAAGTGTGAGATCTCAGTTTTCATATAAAGCTCTATTCTATATCACAGAACTCTCTCAGCAGTCGCACAGTGCAGAAGGAGAACTCCCGCTTTTCTCCATCACCAGAACTTCTCACAGTGAGATGCTGAGGTTAATCTCCTCTGTTCTCCTGAGGAGGTTCAGGAGAAACAGTTCAGAAATCAGTGAACGTTAATATAATATTGAGATCTGCTTTATTTCTCTGAGACAATCATAATTATTTTCCTCTGGGAGTGCAACAGTGTTAACTTGCATGAAGTAATATTCACATTTCAGCTCCTTAATCACCCTGTTATTCAGAGGATCCGGCAACGTTCAGAGGAAAAATGTCTGTTTTGGAGCATTTTGTCTTCAGCAGGTCGCTCAGAAACTGACGCAGTGCATCCAACAGTAAAGGCAGCTTTTATACAGACATAGGAAGCATAAAACTCCAATTTCACATCCATTTTACTGACAACTGTCGACATGCATGCTGACCCACCACTCTGGGGGCAGATTTTAGTCATATATAGGGAACCTCAGCAGAATCTCTGAATGTATGGCCACTGAGGTGTTGGGTTCAATAGGTTTTAGTCCTGAGATTCAACCCAAAACTGCAGCACTTAGTGGAGGATTCTTCATCCTCTACTGAACTACTGAAGCAACTATGGTGTTTTTGGATGTCCAGAGTGGAATGCTTTTGACTATCCAAGTCAGCCATCCAATCTGAAGCCCAGTGACCATGCAGAAGACAAGACTGAATGCAAAAAGACCCACAACTAGCAGGAACATAAAATAACTGCTATGCAGAGCTGGCAGCAAAACCAGAGAAGATACACAAGACATGGTGACGTCTATGGGTTGCAGACTTCAGGCAGTCATTGATTCCAAAGTGCAAAGGATTAAAACTGCAATTCACAGTTAAATTTTAAAATAATTCAACAGAGATATAAACATTATATAGAGTGGTTTGGTGAGAAATGGTTGATTTGTTGAGACTCAAATTTCTTGTGATTTCTTTAGTGGTGGTGATAGGAACCAGGGGTCGCCATGACTCCACACAAATATAGACGTTTTATTTACTATCCAAAACCAACAGTGAACCTACACGAGTCTTCTGAGCTTTTATATGGAATGTTGATGATGGAAAATAGGGATAAATCTGAACATTATTCTTTGGGGACTATTTGCCTTAGAATGTCCTGCATGGATCCCTCCACCATGAATCTGTTTAAAAATTGTTTTAGACCTTCCTAAAACAAAATTCCTTCCTCAAAACTATTGTATACTCTTAAAAATGATAGTTCTTTAAGGGTTCTTTATTAAAGAAAATGGTTCTGTATAGAACCATGAACACTGAAAGAACCCTTTGCATGATTAAAGGTTTCTTTGCGTCATGAAAGGGATCTTCGGATTGATGGAGATTTTTGAATAGGGTTCTATATAGGACCAAAAAAGAGTTCTTCTATTGTTACAATGTCAGGACTGTAACAATAGAATAACCTTTTTTGGCCCTATAGAAAATTATATAGCTCTAAATAAAACCTTATAAAAACACTCAATCGATCTGAGGAGCTTTTCTTGATTCAAAGAACGCTTTAATCATGCAAAGGGTTCTTCAAAGTGTTCAAGGTGTTATAGCACCAAAAAAGGTTCTTCTATTGTTACAAGCTTGACACTGTAACAATAGAAGAACTTTAAGTGTGTAAAACAATGTCAGACATCAGGCAGGATATTCATAACCATTTCATGTAATATGTCTCTGCGGGTTAAACCATTCAGGACATCTGGAGGCAGTAAACACTTCAAGTGTTTCTATAAACTGAGCATTTCACATCAAACCACTCTGAATGATTCAATTATACAGAAATTTTGAAAAATTGGTGGAACTCCCCTTCAAGATCAGGTTGGTATGTCTAATTATGGTCATCTAAAATGGCAAGGGGCTGGATATGTTTCTACATAGTCTATCCTGTAGATGTAAATAGGCTCAAATTAAAGCTGACACTGTGTTTTAAACGTCAGAGTACAGTGCCAAAACAATCAACACCGTCCAATTACTTATGCACCACACTGTATTAATGTCAAGCACCCCAAAAGGCGTAGGGCCACCATTCGCCTCCTAACAGCTTCAGTCCTTCTTGGAAGTCTGTGCGGAGAGGGATAGAGGAGCATTCATCAAGGAGTGAAGCTTTTAGTTATTTTAGGGATGAAAGAGAAAAATGGACTTTGCACTCCAGGACCTCACATAAGGAGGAACGATGTTCAAGTCTGGTGAACGAGGAGACCATGAAGGGCTATTTTATCTGCGTGAATGTGTTCATGGGCTCATTGTTATCTTGGAATATGGGAACATCTTGAGGGAACAGTGTTTGCGCAATAGTGTGCACCTGGTCCTGGAAACTGGTCTCCAATTTCTTGGCCATCGTTGGCCATTATATGCTTAGAAATCACCAAGCTTAATGACTGCCATGCAGTAGCTGCCCATACCATTATGGCTCCACCACCAACATAAACGTTTGGCAACAGACAGTGTAAGATAAAGACATCTTCTATTAACATGCACATATTGATGTGGAAGAAAGGATGAACAATGACTCATTGCTTAATAATCATTTTTGTCTATTGGTCTGTTAGTCTGTTTTTTTGCTTACAATTTTTTTTTAAATATTTGAGCAACATTAACAGGAGTTACATAAAAGCAACCTACAGATTTCTGCAACATATGAAAAAAACTAGGACTAAACAAAGTAGAACTATAGTAACAAAATCTGTGTATAATTCAATAAAAAGACATAAGCTATCATTCAGAGTGGTTTGGTGTGAAACGCTCCGTTCTAGAGAAACTTAGTGAGTCAGAACTGTTCACAGTGGTGGTGATAGGAACCAGATGTTCACCTCTAAAAGCTCCCTCACAGAAAGTTACTACATGAATGATATGAGTGTGATTATGAATACGCTGCCTGATGTGTGAGAAGGTTTTGGCTTCAACTATGTGTAAAGTGGAGAGATACATGACTATTTTAAGTAGAAAGAATTTTTTTTTTTTTTAATTTCACTATTTTACCATCATCAGCATTTACGTATGTGTAGGTTCACTGGTTTTAAAAAGTATATAAAATGGTAATATTCATGACCCCTGGTTCCTATCAAAAGCCACTGTAAAGAAAACCAAGCAAGCATGTTTCTCTACAATGAGCCATTTCACATCTTAATCACTGAATTATGCACGGATGAATTCCCTTTTAAATCATTTTACCTGGTTAACTACTGGTGTTTCCATTATTTTGTCCACCTCATACTCCTTCTGCAGGAAGTGAAGTTTGTTTCACTGGAAAACTTACACTACATGGCCAAAAGTATGTGGACACCAAGTGTGTGGAGTTCAGGTGTTTCAGCCACACTCATTGCCAACAGGTGTATAAAATCCAAAGCCATGCAAACACAGTAGAGGGTCGTACTGATGAGCTCAGTGACTTTAAACGCGGCGCTGTCATAGGATGCCACCTTTGCCACAAGTCACTTTGTGACATTTCTGCCCTGCTAGATCTGCCCCTGTTTACTGTAAGTGCTATTATTGTGAAATGGAAGCATCTAGGAGCAACAGCTCAGCTACAAAGCAGTAGACCAAGCAAACTCACAGAACAGGGCCGCCGAGTGCTGAAGCAAGTACAAAATGCCCATCCTCTGTTGCAGCCGCCTGTATAGAGTTCCAAACTGCCTCTGGAGCAACATCAACACAAGAACTGTGCATCAGAGCTTCATGAAATGGTTTCTATGGCTGAGCAGCTGCACACAAGCCTAAGATCACTATGCGCAATGCCAAGCGTCGACTGGAGTGGTGTAAAGCGCCGCCACTGGACTCTGGAGCAGTGAAAAGGTGTTCTCTGGAGTCTGATGATGAATCTGGGTTTGGTGGATGTCAGGAGAACATTACTATTGGCACTATACATTCCGGTAGGTAAAGTTTGGTGGAGGTGGGATAATAGGCCAGGGCTGTTTTTCAGGGTTTGGGCCTCTCAGTTCCAGTGGACGGTGATTTTGTTAAATAAACAGCACACACAGACATTTTACACAGTTATGCCTCCAGCTTTGTGTCAGCAGTTTGGGGAAGAGCCTTTCCTGTTCCAGCATGACCGAGCCCCTGTGCACAAAGCAGCTCCATAAAGACATGGAGTGACCAGTTTGGTGTGGAGGAACTCCAGTGGCCTGCACAGAGCCCTGACCTCAACCCCACTGAACACCTTTGGGATGAACTGGAACGTCGACTGTGAGCCAGACCCTCTCATCTAACGTCAGTGTTGACCTCACCAATGCTCTTTTGAATGATTGGGCACAAATTCCCACAGACACTCTCCAAAATCTTGTGGAAAACTTCCCAGAAGAGTGGAGGCTGTTATAGTCGCAAAGGGGGTGCAACTCCATATTAATGCCCATGATTTGGAATGGGACATCCAAGAAGCTCACATAGGTGTGAGGGTCAGGTGTCCACATACTTTTGGCTACACATGTAAGTGCATGTGTCCAATTATTTGCCAGTTTTTCATTTTAATGAGTATGAAATGAGGAGAAGGTCAGCTTATTTGATCTTTACATAGAGAATTATCTCAGAAAAGAAACAGATCAGTAACTCAGATGAATTACGCTGTCATCGTAGGTCTTCTGTGATATGGAGACCGGTGGAGGAGGCTGGACAGTGTTTCAGCGCAGAATCAACGGCAGCGTCGATTTTCAACGAGGCTGGAAAGAGTACAAAATGGTAAGTATGCGCACACAAACACACACACATAGTGAAAACCCTGGCACACAGCAGCATTACGAGAGGTTACCCAGGCAACACTGGATCTGGCTCAGGACCCACTAATCTTCTGAGCCATTATATTGTTCATGTTGCAAATGAAGAGGACGCTCTGTCCTTGCTGTATGTTGATTCGTGGGACAGTGTGCGCACGGCTAGATAATATTTATACAGAAAGAGAACAGTTACCAAATGTTTTCTTACTTATTCACTGGAAGGCTTGATGAAGAGTTTGGCTTCATTCCGAAGACATAAGCTAACAAATCACCCAAAGAATGAAACATGGAGACTAAAACAGCATCTGACAGCTTGGCGTCACTGCCAGCATCTGTGGTGTTTTTATAAGGACCGGTGCATTCGCTATGTGAGCCCTCGAAAATGGCCCTGCTACAAAACATTAGCAGGAGCGTATTGTGATTCTGAATGTTTTCACTTGTTTCAAACAGACGGCACTTATCATGACGTGCACCACACGTCCAAAAGTGTGTGTGTTTCTTCTGAAATAAAGGGTGTTAATAGGGAGTTTGTCCCACTTTTGCTACCTCTACTCTTCTAGAACGGCTTCACATTAGATGTTGGAACACTGCTGTGAGGATTTGATTGAACATTAGTGAGGTCAGGTACTGATGTTGGATGGTCAGTTCTGGATCACTCCAACTCATCCCAAAGGTATCGGATGGAGCTCCATCACTCCAGAGAACACAGTTCCACTGCTCCACAGCCCAATGCTGGGGGGCTTTATACCCCTCTAGCTCAAGCTTGGCATTGGACATGGTGACCTTAGGTTCATGTGTGGCTGCTCCAGAGCGTCCAATTGTATTGGTCAGTGCTTTTCTATGTAGAATAAATGGGTGACCCTTAGCTGAATTCACTCATTACAAGGGTTGGCTGGATACTTATGGACATACACTCTTCAATGTCAGTCTATATGTGTAAGTATAGATTTGCTGGATTGAAGTTAGTGAGATCAGAGTGAGTCTGTTGATGTAGATGAGGTGTGGATTGTCCATGGAGATCATCGTGATGACTCAGAGGTGCAGTGACAGGTCTATAGACTGATGCACCAGCACTACTGGCTTTTCAGCAGCCCCAGGGGAAGAAACTGTCTCAGAACCAGCTGGTTCTTCAGTAAAGAAAATGGTTCCATATAAAACCATGAACGCTCAAAGAACCTTTTGCATTATTAAAGGGTTCTTTTGCATTGTGAAAGCGTTCTTCAGATTGACGGAGAGTGTGTTATAGATGGGTTTTTTAGAACCCCTTTTGAAAAGGACTCTGCATAGCACCAATAAGGATTTCACTATTGTTACAAGCCAAAGAACCCTTTTTAGTACTATATAGAACACTTTTTGCAAAGGGTGTGCTTTACATAAAAAATGTATGAATGATTTATTTTTTCAACTTAAGTTTTATCTACATGTGTAAAAGTAATGTGATCCACTAAATCTGTAAACATTACGTATCAGGGTTAATTCCACCTCTCACTCAAGTGCTTGCTGTGTTTCTTCCTCAGGGCTTTGGTGACCCTGGTGGAGAGCACTGGCTGGGGAATGAAGCTGTGCACATGATCACCAGTCGCTCCCAGTACTCCCTCAGAGTGGAGCTGAGAGACTGGGAGGGGAACGCTCCATACTCACTCTACGAAAAATTTCAGCTGGCCGGAGAAAAGCAGCAGTACAGGTATCAATTCTATGTAATCAGAGTCCAGATTTCCAGAAATGAGCTGGGTGAAAGTGAGGTGCAAGTAAAAGCTTGGAAAAAAATCAAATGTATGCAATTTTACCCATTTACTCTAAATGTAGTCGATCAGCTGAGACGTGTTTGGCTGTAGTTTTTGGTGTAGCTAACAAGCAGTGGAAGCTTTATAGCAATTATTGTAGTGCTGTGTATCTAATCACACACTGGCCTTAAAGCGTGTGATGTTCAGTAAAATCTAACAGATGTGGTTTCTGACACACTGTTCTCTATAAACATGGACAAAAAACGGGTTCTGCTATTGTGACTGTCAAACTTATAACAATAGAAGAACCCTTTTTGGTGCCGAGAACCATTTAAGCATAAAGTGGTTTATGTAGAATGCATGGTTCTTAACAGAACCATTCCTTTTACTAAGGAAGCCTTAAAGAACCATCTTCTTTTTGAAGAGTGTAGCTAATAACAGTATTAGAATTTGGAAGCCTGGATTTTGTCAGTAGTTTTGTCCATTTTGTCTGTAAAATCAACCAGTCAGTTTTTAATATATATTTTTATTTTTATTTTTTTTTTATGCAGATGACTTTTTGTTAATTGACAGTTTCTGTTGGGACTAGATAAGGGGTTCAAAGTTATTTGTCCTACAACCAGGCTTAGATTTCACTTTTTTATTTTGCTCATAGC